TTGGGTTAGAACATTTCCTTTTAGTTCACAGAAGTTTCTTACTACCCACCTTCTGAAGTCTGATTCTGTCATTTCATCACACTCGTTCTCCATCCAACCTTGTTCCCTTGCTGGTGAGGAGTTGTGATCCCTTGTAGGAGGAGAGGTGTTCTGGTTTCGGGTGTTTTCATCCTTTTTGCGCTGGTTTTTTCCCATCTTTATGGATTTATCCACCTGTCGTCTTTGTAGTTGCTGGCTTTCAGATTGGGTCTCTGAGTGGACGTTCTGTTTGTGGATGATGAGGTTATTTCTGTTTCTTAGTTTTCCTTCTAACAGTCTGGCCCCTCTGCTGTAGGTCTGCTGAGGTCCACTCCAGGCCCTGCTTGCCTGGGGATCACCTGCAGCAGCTGCAGAACTGTAAGGGTTGCTACCAGTTTTCTTCTTCTGCTATCTTTGTCCTAGAAGGATACCCGCCAAGTGTCAGTCTGATCTCTCCTTTATGAGGTGGCTCTTTGGATATACGGGGGTCGGGGAGCTGCTTGAGGAGACAGTCTGTTCTTTATAGGAGCTAATGCTGAGCTGTGAGCTCCGTTGTTCATTCAGAGCTGCTGGGCAGGTACGTTTAGGTTTGCTGCAGCGGAACTCATAAACCGCTTTTTGTTCCCAGGTGCTGTGTCCCAGGGATTTAGGGCTTTATTTATGAGTTTCTGTTGTGCTGCTGTCTTCTTTTTTTTTTTCCTTCAGAGCTGCCCTGCCCAGCAAGAAGGCAGCCTAGTCACTGTCTGCCTGTAGAGGCTTTGCTGAGCTACTGTGGGCTCCGCCCACCTGCTGAGTGAACTTCCCTGCAGTCCTGTTTATACGGGTGTAGTTAGAACTGCCTTGGCAAGGGTGGCCTGCCTCCGTGTTGGTGGACTCTCTCTGTAATGGTGGGTTGCCTTGGCAATGGTGGGCTGCCTCAGCAGTGGCGGGTTGCCTTGGCAACGGCGGGCTGCCTCAGCATTGGCTGACTACCTCCTTAGTGTTGGAGTGCCTCAGTAATGGCGGATGCCCTTCCCCCACAGAGCTGGACTGTCCCGGGTTCAGCTGCACTTGCTGTGAAACTCTCAATTCTGATTGCTGTTCTTTTGTGGGGGTGGGACCAGCCGAGTCTGATCGCCTGGCTCCCTGCCTCAGAGCCTTTTTTTTTTTTTAAGATGGTGTTCCAGTCGCCTGTTGAAGAGGCGCCAGGATCTGTGTGTTTTCCCGTGCGGCGACTCACTTTGCTGGCTTAAACAGCGGCACTGAGATTCCTGGCGCTTTTTTTTTGCCCTGGAATCTACTGTCCTGGTTCCATGTTTTTAAACAGATGAATGGGCGACTTCCCGTAGCTCAAGTCACCAGCCAAAAGGGCACCCAGACCAGTGTATTTTGTACGGAGAACCGCTGCACCCAGGCGCTGACAAAGTAGCCACGCTGACCAACACAGCCACGCTGGCTGAAACAGCTGCGCTGCCGACCCATGGGGCTCCTCCGCCTGGGAATTTCCTAGTCTGTGGGCAATAAAAATGCGGAGTCCACTCACCCTCTGCGCTTTCACTGGGAGCTGCAATCCAGAGCTGTTCCTAAACGGCCATCTTGGATTGATCCCCGATTTATTGTTTTTTAACTTTATTTTTATTTTTATTTTTTTGAGACAGTGTCTTGCCCTGTTGCCCAGGCTTGAGTGCAATAGTGCAATCTTGGCTCGCTGCAACCTCCACCTCCCGGGGTTCAAGTGATTTCTCCTGCCTCAGCCTCTGGAGTAGCTGGGATTACAGGTGCATGCTTCCTCACCCAGCCAATTTTTTGTATCTTTAGTAGAGATGAGGTTTCACCATGTTGGCCAGGCTGATCTCTAACTCCTGACCTTGTGATCCACCTCTTTCTGCCTCCCAAAGTGCTGGGACTACAGACGTGAGCCACTGCACCCAGCCGGTTTAGTACTTTATTTTTCCTTAAATTTTATCTTAAAAGATCTAAAAGAACAGGAATTAGGAGAAGAGAGAGGCAGAGGAAAACACAGGAGTGTGGGTGGAGGAAAAGTAGAGGCAAATTGGAACCCAAGATATGCAAATGGAAGAGGAGTTTTAGGACCAGAGTATCCTGACATTTAGTTTTAAGTCATTTGTATTTCTGCAAAGTAAAATCTCTGAGCTTCCCTAAATCTTTAGTAAAGATGCCTGTAAACACAAAGACTCCTCTGAATACTGGGTTGAGAATAAACTTGTAGTGTAGGAAAGAGGGATGTGAGACTAGAGTCTGACATGGGGAAAGGCCTAAGTAGGGAGAATACTTAGGAGACTTGCAATAATTTAGTCAGGATTTTATAGTGGAAATGGATCGGTTTGGTAACAGGGGAGGCAGAAAGGTAGAGTCAGTTTTGGGTTTTATTTTAAAGATAAAACCAGTAAGATTTGCTAATACATTTGGAAATGGGATGTGAGATAATTCTTTCACTAATCAAGAAAGACTGAGGTCTGAGGAGCCATAATGGTGTCATTTACTGGGACAGAAATACTTCTGGAGGGGCAGTTTCAACGTGAAGATCAGTTTTCTTTGGGCCCTATTAATGCAAAATGTTTCTGAGACCTCCTAGTGCAGATGACCAGAAGGTAATGAGATACATGCATCTGATGTCCGCAGCAGGAGGTCAGGTGTGTGGAAGTCTTTCACTTTTAGCTGATAATGGAAACCATGGGATTATATCAGCTCACTCAGGGAAAGCACATAGAATGAGAAGGAAATTTAGTACCAACCCATGGGAATATCAGAAATTAAAGCGTAGACAGATGTATTGGGGTTAGTCTTCATAGATCCAGTTGTGTGTGCAATAAAGAAAGGCATAGGGTTGGGCATGGTGGCTCATGCCCGTAATCCCAGCACTTTGGGAGGCCGAGGTGGGTGGATCACAAGGTCAGGAGTTTAAGACCAACCTGGCCAATATGGTGAAACCCCATCTCTACTAAAGATACAGAAAAATTAGCCGGGCATGGTGGCTCATGCCTGTAATTCCAGGTACTTGGGAGGCTGAGCCAGGAGAATCACTTGAACCTGGGAGGTGGAGGTTGCAGTGAGACAAGATTGCACCACTGCACTCCAGCCTGGGCGACGGAGCAAGACTCCGTCTCAAAAAAAAAAAAAATTTACTACACAAAGTTCAGAGGACTTCCAAACTATTCTATACACAGTTTATTCACATCCTGATTCTGGTTTAGTTGTTGAAGGAAATAATTAAAATGATAAGTATAGTCAGACTATAGACATCGTGTGTGTGTGTGTGTGTGTGTGTGTGTGTGTGTGTGTGTGTGTGTGTGTGTGTGTATGTATAAGTGTATAATTTTTTTACTATGATAATGAGAGGAAATTGGCAGCAAATATGACTTTGCTTTCTACTGTGCTTTTTAAAGGCAGTTTTCACTATCAGCATGTAGTTTTATAATCACTGAAAAGTTAATATCAAGATAAATACTTTGGAAAAAATATTGAATTTATTGATTAGTTTTAATACAATCTTTAATGTTATAAATAAAATATTAGTATACTGTATTTTTAAAGTGCTATTTTGCTAATTGAGTCAGAGTTTTTAAATCTGAAATATTATTAAGGATGATGATCACAAATACCTTGAGAATTCCTTTTGTGTCTAGGTTTAGCGACACCAGTAGACTTGAAGCTAAAATTGATACCCATCCTACAGCACATGCACCATGATGCAATCCTGGCTTCCAGTGCTCGTCAGCTTTTACAACAGCTGGTCACATCTTATCCATCCACCAAAATGGTGATTGTTTCTTTGCACACTTTCACTCTGCTTGCAGCTTCATCTTTGGTTGATACACCTAAGCAGGTAATTTCAGTCTTCTTTAAACTGCCTATTACTTGGTAAACTTACATATTAAATATGTGATTAGAAATAAGAAAGTGAGGCCGGGCGCAGTGGCTCAAGCCTGTAATCCCAGCACTTTGGGAGGCCGAGGCGGGTGGATCACGAGGTCAAGAGATCGAGACCATCCTGGTCAACATGGTGAAACCCCGTCTCTACTAAAAATACAAAAAATTAGCTGGGCATGGTGGCGTGTGCCTGTAATCCCAGCTACTCAGGAGGCTGAGGCAGGAGAATTGCCTGAACCCAGGAGGCGGAGGTTGCGGTGAGCCGAGATCGCGCCATTGCACTCCAGCCTGGGTAACAAGAGCGAAACTCCGTCTCAAAAAAAAAAAAAGAAATAAGAAAGTGGCATGTAAGTCTTGAGGACATTAAGGTTCTTTTCTCTAATAAAGGTCAGATTAATTTCCTTTTGTTTGCTTTTTTTTTTTTTTAATAAGACAGAGTCTCGCTCTGTCACCTAGGCTGGAGTGCAGTGGCATGATCTTGATTCACTGCAACCTCTGCCTCCTGGGTTCAAGCAATTCTGCCTCAGCATCCTGAGTAGCTGGATTACAGGTATGCATCACCATGCCTGGATATTTTTTTTGTATTTTTAGTAGAGATGGGGTTTCACCATATTGGCCAGGCTGGTCTTGAACTCCTGACCTTGTGATCCTCCTGCCTTGGCCTCCCAAAGTGCTGGGATCAGGCATGAGCCTGTATTCTCTATGTTCACAGTACTGATTGTTGGGAGCCCTTGAGGAAAATGAGATGTGAGGTACATGGCTGGATGTGAAGTTGGCAGTATAATAAAAAAAAATGCCAGGTCCTGTGCTAAAACCTTAAATGGTAGTATTTTACAAACATGGAGAAAGAGACCGAAATGTGGACATTTGAAGTGATTTGAAGTGATTCCTGTCCCTTTATAAGTTTCACTAAACTACACTGCATTTCTCATGATAATTTCAGTTACAGTGTTGTTCATGGAGTGACTTATTTTCTTTATAGATTCAGCTTCTGTTGCAGTATTTGAAGAATGATCCCAGGAAAGCAGTAAAGAGACTTGCTATTCAAGATTTGAAATTACTTGCTAATAAAACACCACATACTTGGAGTAAGGAGAACATTCAGGTATGTAGAACTTGTAACCTTAATATTTTATATAGAAAAAATAATATTATAATGTAAAATGTTTTGCATTTTTATTTGTCCTTTGTCATCTTCTTAGTGGTTGAATATGAAAAATGTCCAAAAGTATTGATGTTTGTAGCAGAAGTTATTTTATAAGTGGCATCATAAATACATAAAACTTCTATACTTCAATGTTTGTTCTAGTCAATGAAACTTGCCACTCAGTTGCTTGTTCATTTTCCCATAGTGGCACTAAGGCTAATTGAGAAGCCCAATTACGTTGTTTTTTTTTATTCTTGTATTTTTCAGTCAATTTGGGGAGAAAAATTTAGGGGCTGACTGTTATGTATAATGGAGAAGGGCTGGCTAGGCAACTTGGGAAGTTTATTTCTTTACTCATAGAGAGCAGAAGACATTCTTAAGTCTTCTTTTGTAAACAGAAGAGCAGATCTCACTCTTTAGACCTAATGTGACAACTTTGACATTATCTGTTAGGTTAAATTAATATTTTATATTTTTTCTCAAAGTAGAGCCCTGTTTGTTTACTCATTACCAATAGAGATATACTGTTTTGCAAATAATGCTATTTAAAATGGAATGGATGTTTTTATCTCTTAGCATCATCATGATTCCAGTGGATCAAAACTCTTTGAATTTCAGATTATTAAAACTAAACTGCTGTGTTTGTTTTTCTGTTTGTTTGCAGTTTTCTAAACGTCTTTTAATTTACTATATTATGATTTGGTAGTCACAGATATCCCAAGATAAGGGCAGTTGTTAAATCTGCATTTAATAGATATGCAGTTAGGGTTCAGAAAGACTTAATAGGCTTAAGAGAGTGTCTTAAGAGAAGTAAATTAATAGTTTAAGAGAGCTTCTGTCCTCTCATCCCTAGTCCTAGTGCTTTTTTTACTAAATAATGCTATCTTTCCAAGAAGAGAATATTGCCAGCCACTTTAGTCATTTAGAGAATTTGTGCAAAGAACCAAATCCAGTTATTTAGAAAGATCAGTGAGAAGCACTGTATTATTCTTTCTCATTTTTTTTTCTTATTGTGAGATAGATTGCACATACAGAAAAATATGTGAAATGTATAAATAGTTTAAATACTTTTAAGTGAAAACCCATGCAGTTACCATCCATCTAGAAATAGAACATTACAGGATCACAGAACCCTGCCTCCTTCCCTTTCATGGCCCTTCCTGATTGGAACTTTACACCTACCAAAAGGAAACCACTATTTTGACTTCCGTGATAATTTCTTTGCACTTCTTTATAGTTGTGCCTTCTTCACATGTCTTTCTAAAGAATACTGTTTAGCTTTGCTTTTTTTTCTTTTGCTCAGCATTACACTGGTGAGACTCATCCATGTTTTTTCCCTTTAGTTGTAATATAGCATTCCATTGTATGAATGTATCCTGTAGAGATTTGTGTTGGCTTCTGCGAGGCAGAGATGTCCGATTAGTGCTAAATGCTGCCAAGAAACATTAAGTCAGGAAGAAGATTAGTGAATTATGGAAGATGGAGGTTGCAGTTTTAAGTAAGCTGGTTATAGAAACCCTCTCTGAGAAGTTGACATTTGTGCAAGGACCTAAAGAAGGGAATGTCAATTTTGCGGGCCCCTGAAGGAAGGATATCATCAGCAAGAGAACAGCAAAAAGGCCCCGAAGTAAGAGCATTCAAGAGTGTGAGGTCAGTGTGACTGTTAATAGGGGATATTAGTAGGAGGTGATGTTAGGTGATGATAGGGAGGAATAATTTTTTAGGGCTTTTGAGTCCTTCCTAAGGACTTTAGCTTTTAAGTCTATATGAGATAGATTGCCTCTGGAAGATTTTGAGCAGAGGACATTATCTAACTGAAGTTCTAAAAGATTGTCTCTAGCTTAGCTACATTGAGACTATATTGAAGGGGCCTAAAGGCAGAAGTGGGGAGAACATTTAAGAGTTAGTTATAAATAATCCAGTGGGAAAATATTATGGTTACCTGAACCAAGGTAGTTGGAAAATATTATGGTTACCTGAACCAAGGTAGTTGGGGTGGTGGTGAGAAGTGGTAGTAGTCTGGATATATTTTAAAGTTAGAGCTGATGGATTTCCTGGCATATTGTAGAGAAAGAAAGGTGGCTGTAAGTGTTTTGCCATCAGCAAATGGAATTGCCATTTGCTTGAAATGGGCAAGACTCTGGGAGACTCATTTCTTGAAGGGAAGATGAAGAGTTCATTTCTGAGTATATGAAGTGTAAGATGTTAGACATCCAGGTGGAGATGTCAAGGACATATGTACCTGGAGTTCAGTGGACAGATCCAGTTGTGGTTATAAATATGAGAGTTATTAGTTTTATAGATGGTAATTGAAGCCATGAGACTAGATGACTCAACTAGGGAGAGAATATGGCTAGAGAAGATTTAGAGAATGATGAAGTGAGAAACAACCAGCAAAGGAGCCTGAAAAGGAGTGGCCAGTGATAAATAAGTCAGAATAATATTTTATAGGGAGAAGACCTTAGTCTTCTCCCTGTAAAATAGAGAGCTACTGCAGCCATATTCACCAAGATAAGGACTGATAGTTCACCTTTGCATTTGGCAACATGAACTCATTGATAACCTTAAGAGAGCAATTTTACTGCAGCATTGTGGGTAAAAGACTGTTGAGAGTGGATTCTGCAGAAAACAGGAGAGAGATTTAAGGCAGTGAATGTACATTGGTCCCTCAGTATCCACTGGAGATTGGTTCCAGGATCGACCCTTTTCTAGATTACTTATACTACCCAATATAATGTAATTTTAAGTAAATAGTTGTATTATGTTGCTTTTTATTTGTATTTTTTTTTGTTATTAATATTTCAAATACTTTTGATCTGGAGTTGGTTGAATTAGTGGATGTGGAAGCCAGGAATATTGAATGCCTAATGTAGAAAACTTTTTGAAAGGAATTCTCTCAAGGTAACAGAGAAATGATATGGTATTGCTAAAGCGTATGGTGTTTGTTTTTATCCTGGGAGGAGTACAACTTGTTTTTTATTGATGGAAATGACTTGGTAGAGGGGAAAAATTACAAGAGCAATATCCTTGAGTAGGTGAGACTGGAAGGGACTCAGTGTAGAAGTAAATAGGCTTTTTCTAGTTCACACAGAGCAGCAAGGATGACATTAAGAAGTCCAATGTAGATGAGTGAGTAGGTATTATGGTAAAAAGTTACAGAAAATCTCTTGTGAGGGATTTTTTTTGGTTTTGTTTTGTTAATTAGGAGACATGGTCATTAGGTATGGGTAATAATGAGGGAGGCAAAGAGAAAGGTTTTAAGGAAACACAGAAATTCAAATAAACTAGGGAAATAGAGGATTGCCAGGTAAGATAGTTGAGTAAAGCAATATATAATGTGGTGTCCGGCACATACAAACAAATGCTTTTTTAAGGGTAGCTGTAAGTTATCTTAAAGGTAAGTTTATTCTTTAGTTTTCCTTTTTAAATACTTTGACAGATTGTAGGGTTGGGGTTGTACTGTCTTAATAAAATGAACTGGGAAGTTTCTCTTTCTATACTCTGGAATGGTTAAGAACTGTAACAGAATTTTCTGTTTCTGCAGGTATAACTTTAAAATTGCCATAAATTTATCTGAATCTAGAAGTATTTCCAGCAATAGTTACGTTGAGAACATTTCCAATCACTACATGTTATTGTCCTATCAGTTTTCTACCTCTCTGACATCAGTTTTGTTCATTTGTTTTTCATTTAATTTACTTCTCAAGTTCGTTAGTATCAGCACGAAGAGTCTTTATAACTTCTAATATCTTTGTATTTGATTTAAAAAAATTTTTAATCTTGCACATTTGTGTTTATATCCCTTTTTCTTGATTACACTTGCCAGAAGCTTTGCTTTCTTATCTTTTCAAGTGCTTGGTAATTTATTTTTGCTTTTCTTGTTTAATATTGAAAGCAGTTAAGACTGCTAATTCGCTTCTTGGTACATATTGACCAAATTTCATAAATTATGTCTTGTATTGTTTTCATTGCCATTAGTTTGAAATGTGTTTTTTTTTTTTTTTTTTTGAGAGGGAGTTTCACTCTTGTACCTAGACTGGAGTGCAATGGCGCGATCTCGGCTCACCGCAACCTCCACCTCCTGGGTTCAGGCAATTCTCCTGCCTCAGCCTCCTGAGTAGCTGGGATTACAGGCACATGCCACCATGCCCAGCTAATTTTTTGTATTTTTAGTAGAGACGGGGTTTCACCATGTTGACCAGGATGGTCTAGATCTCTTGACCTCGTGATCCACCCGCCTCGGCCTCCCAAAGTGCTGGGATTACAGGTGTGAGCCACCGCACCCGGCCTGAAATGCGTTTTTTAAAAAACCAGATTTTTTGTGGTATAATTTATTTACAGAAACTTTTCTATGTATGTAACTGGATGAGTTTTTACAAGTGTACAAAACCACCACCACAGTTGAGATACAGAACATTTCAATTACCCCCAGAAGTTTCTGCAGGCCCCTCTGTAGTCAGTTCTTTCCCTAACCCCTGGCAACTACAAATCTGATTTCTGTTGCTCTGATTTTGCCTTTCCAGGATATAAATAATCACATGGTATGTGACCTTTTGGATATCCCTTCTTTCACTTATCATAATGCTTTTAATAATTATCCATGCTGTTACATGTAGCAGTAGTTCATTCCTTCTTATTGCTGAGGAGTATTTAAATATATGAGCATACAATAATTTGTCTGTTCATAAGTTGATGGACGTTTGGATTGTTTCTGGGTTTTTGGCCATTATGAATAAAGCTGCAATCTTACACGTCTTTGTGTGACATCTCTTGGGTGTGACACCTAGAAATGGAATTGCTGGGTTGTGTGGTAAAAACTTACTCTGTTTAACTTTGTAAGAAACTGCCAAACTGTTTTCCAAAATTCCAATACCATTTTATTTACCTACCAGCCATATGTGAGTTCTAGTTCTGTATCCTTGCCGGCACTTTGTATTGTATGGTTTTGTAATAGGTGTGTAGTGATATTTCATCATGGTTTTGTTTTGTATTTTCCTAATGACTAATGATATTGATCATCTTACAGGCTTATTTGTCATCTGTATCTTCAGTGAAGATTCCTGTTCTAATCTTTTATTCATTTCTTATTAGGTTTGTCTTTTTGTTATTGAGTTATAAATGTTCTTGATACTAATCCTTTATCAGATACATGTTTTACAAATATTTCTTCTCTGTATATATCTTTAGTACATGTCTTTTGAAAGTAGAAGTTTTAAGTTGTGATAAAATCTATGTAGTTTATTAATGTTTTTTTCTTTTATGGGTTGTATTTTATCTGAGAAGTCTGCCTAATCCAAAATCACAAAAGTTTTATCTAAAAGGTTTATGGTTTAAGTTTTGCATATAGCCCTGTGTGATCCATTTTGAGTTGAATTTTGTGTATAGTACAAAATAAACATCAAGGTGTATTTGGATAGCCAGTTGTGGCACCATTTAGTGGGGAAAACTTTTCTTTCCCCATTGAATTACTTTAGCATCTTTGTTGAAAATCAGTTGACCATATCTGTGTGGATTTATTTCTAAATTCTATTCTGTTCCATTAGTCTGTATATCTGTCATTAAGCGAATAGTACAGTGTCTTGATTACTCTAGCTTTTTGGCAAGTCTTGGAATCAGATAGTGTGAGTCCTCTACCTTTGTATTTGTTTTTCAAAATTGTTTGGCTAGGTGGGGTGTAGTGGCTTGTGCCTATAATTTCAGCACTTTAAGAGGCCAAGGTGAGAGGATCACTTGAGGTGAGGAGTTTAAGATCAGCCTGAGCAATATAGTGAGACCCTGTCTCTACAAAAAAAAAAAAAAAAAATCAGGCGTGATGGCATACACTTACAGTCCTGGCAACTTGGGAGAGTGAGCTGGCAGGATCGCTTGAGCCTGAGTTCAAATTTGGCTATTCTAGGTCTACTGCCTTTTCATGTAAAATTTAGAATAAGTTTTTCAATTTCTACTAAGAAAACCCTATTAGGATTTTTATTGGACTTTACATCTAAAGATTAATTTGGAACAAATGGACATCTTAATAGTATTGTGGTTTGTTTTTTGTTTTTTTGAGATAGTCTTGCTCTGTCTCCAGGGCTGGAGTGCAGTGACACTATCTCAGCTCACTGCAACCTCCACCTCCCAGGTTCAAGCAGTTCTCCTGCCTCAGCCTCTCAAGTAGCTGGGATTATAGGTGTGTACCACTACCCCCAGCTAATTTTTGTATTTTCAGTAGAGATGGGGTTTCACCATGTTGGCCAGGCTGGTCTCAGACTCCTGACCTCAAATGATCTACCTGTCTCAGCCTCCCAAAGTGCTGGGACTACAGGTGAGAGCCACTGTCTCTGGGCAATAGTATCATGTTTTTTGATCCATGAACATGGTACATCTCTCCATCCTTTTTTTTTTTTTTCCCCCCCTTCTTATTTGGAGATAGGTTTCACTGTGTTGCCCAGGCTGGAGTGCAGTGGTGCAATCATAGTTTACTGCAGCCTCAGGTGAGCCTCTTATTTCAGCCTCTCAAGTAGCTGGAACTGCAGGTGTACACCACCATGCCTGGCTAATTTTTGTGTTGATGGTATTTTGCCACATTGCCCAGGCTGGTCTCAAACTCCTGGTCTCAAATGATACTACCACCTCAGCCTCTCAAAAGTGCTGGGATTGCAGGCATGAGCCACGACACCTGGCCAATCTCTCCTTTCTTTTTTTTAAGCTCTTCAGTTTCTCATCAGAGGTTTTTTTTGTTTTGTTTTGTTTTTCTCATAGGTTTTTGGGAAACAGGTGGTGTTTGGTTACATGAGTAAGTTCTTTGGTGGTGATTTGTGAGATTTTGGTGCATCCATGACCCAAGCAGTATACACTGTACGAAATTTGTATTCTTTTATCTCTTATCTCCTCAGTGATTTTTATTTTTATTTGTTTTTTGAGTCAAAGTCTCACTCCAGTGCACAGGCTGAAGTGCAGTGATGTGATCATGGCTCTTTGCAGTCTTGACCTCCTGGGCTTAAGTGGTGCTCCCACCTCAGCCTCCTGGGGAGCTGAAACCACAGGTGCTCACCAATGCCAATTTTTGTATTTTTTTGTAGAGACAGGATCTCACTATTTTGTCCAGGCTGGTCTCAAACTGCTGGGCTCAAGCAATCCACCTGCCTCGGCCTCCCAGAGGGCTGGGGTTATAGGTGTGTGCTACCGTGCTGGGCTACATCAGTGGTGATTAGTTCAGCATACAAATCTTGCATATATTTTGCTAGATAGTTTCCTAAATATTTCATGGTTTTAATGCTACTGTAAATAATTTTTTTTAATATCCATGAGAGCAATTTTTATTTCTTCTTTGACCATGGCATTAGCTTGATGTTTTCTACTTTTGAAGCAATTAATTTTCTATATTTGTTGGTAGAATTTTTGTTGTTGCTAACCTTTTGTTATTAATTCTTAAAGTTTATTTGTGGCCCATGGTAGGATCACTTTTTGTAAACAGTTCAGAGATTTGAAAAGAAGACATATTTTCTTTTTTTTTTTTTGAGATAGAGTTACACTCTTGTTGCCCAGGCTGGAGTGCAATGGCGCAATCTCAGCTTACCACAACCTCTGCCTCCTGGGTTCAAGCAATTCTCCTGCCTCAGCCTCCCGAATAGCTGGGATTACAGGCATGTGCCACCATGCCCAGCTGATTTTGTATTTTTAATAGAGATGAGGTTTCTCCATGTTGATCATGCTGGTCTCCAACTCCTGACCTCAGGTGATCTGCCTGCCTTGGCCTCCCAAAGTACTGGGATTACAGGCGTGAGTCACTGCACCTGGCCTGAAGTTTCTTTTTTGTAATAATTTTTAAAAATGATATTTGCATTGAGCTTTACAATCACATTATCAATCAGTTAAATGTAATTGTTTTATTGATTTCATGGCTTACTATTATTTCTTCATTATACCATATCTTCCCTTACCTAGAATTTTTATTCTGATTTATATTTCTTATGGCTTTTTGTGAGGGGTTATTTTTTAATTGAACATATATTTATTTTTAATGTTTGTTTCTTCTATGAAGAATTTTTTTTTCATTGTGGCTGCAACCTAAGCATGTTGATTTTAATTAAATCGATGTTGTCAAATAATTATTCATTTCTTATAGCCTAGATATATTTTTGAAAATACTGAAATACAGCAGGGGAAAACAGTTCTAATGATTTAACCTTTTATAAAGTAATAAGGTATTGATTTTGAATTTGAATTTTACTCACAATTACCAAGAGTAATTGTATAACAGGTTTTTTACTTATTTCTTCCATCACTATTTTACAATTACCAAGAGTAATCGTAGGGCTTCCCTCCTTCCTTCTCCCCTTTCGTCTTTTCTTCTTTTGTTACTTCCTGCCTTCCTCTCGGTCAGTCTTATCATTGCTGGTTGGTTTTTGAGTTTTAGTATTTTAAGTTCACGTTGTGTCCATTTCCATTCTACTTTTTTGGTTTATTGGTTAGTATTAAAATTTTCACGTGAAATCAGATATTTCAGGTTTAAATAAATGGCTTTCATTCTGTATGCCTTTAAAAACCTGAAAGAAGGAAGGGCCTAAGTCAAGATCCAAATATATTATTATTATTAAGGTAGTCAAAAACAATAGTTTCATATGAAAATATTTTTAGTATGTTTATATAGTTTTTTAGATTTTTTTGATGCCTTGCTGGGATAAATGTCCTTCTTAGTTGGTGTTAATCTATATTAATAGTTTACAATATCGGATGCTGTAGTCTTTTTTTTGAGATAGAGTCTCACTTTGTTGCCCAGGCTCAAGTGCAGTGGCGCTATTTTGGCTCATTACAGCCTCTGCCTCCTGGGTTCAAGTAATTCTGTCTCAGCCTTCTGTGTAGCAGGAATTACAGGTGCCTGCCACCACGCCCAGCTAATTTTTGTATTAGTAGAGATGGGTTTCCCTATGTTGGCCAGGCTGGTCTTGAACTCCTGACCTCAGGTGATCCACCCACCTCGGCCTCCGAAAGTGCTGGGATTACAGGCATGAGC